AAATCATGGGACGCCTGGGTGGCTCAGTTGGTTAAGCAGCTGCCTTCGGCTCAGGTCATGATCCCAGCGTCCTGGGATCGAGTCCCACATCGGGCTCCTTGCTCGTCAGGTAGCCTGCTTCTCCCTCTGCCTCTGCCTGCCATTCTGTCTGCCTGTGCTCGCTCTCTCTCTCTCCCTCTCTCTCTCTGACAAATAAATAAATAAAATCTTTAAAAAAAAAAAAAAAAACTTACCAAATCAACCTTGTAGGGCTGTGGCAAGACTCATGTGAAGGGGGCATTTGTGAGAAAACTTACAAACTCTAACAGTGTTAAAACAAATGTAGTACAGTATTCTTACTAAATCCGAACCACTTGCTTCCATTGTTTTGCTGCATTTAAACTTCACTCATCAAATACGTCAGTCATTTGTTCCAAAAATGTTGACCGAGTGTTTGGGGACACTAGAGTTACCTTAGTGAACAGGATTTTGGAAATTACTAACTTCATGGGACTTGGACTTGACAGTTCTTCTAGTATCTGGATCAGATAAGGGAATCTGGGCCCATAAATATTTCAGCAAGGTACGTCGATGATCAATGAGCGGTATCCAGTGTGTATCTCCAGTAGAGATGAATTCCATAAATGTGTACAGAGCTCTTCTTAGGGCTCCATAGTGATCAGGCACTGTTGTAGGCATTAGGAGATTGACGCAGACCAAGTTCCTGGCCTTCTGGAGCTCACATTCATAAGATCGAATCGGTTAGACGATCTGAATCCTATATGGAAAATACAGCCAAAGGAAGGTACGAGGGTGATTTTGAGAGGTCGAAAACCTAGTTCTGGACCCAGAGCTTCTGACCTCTTGACAACAGTGTTTCCCCTTATCAGAACCAAAGGCATTATAAACTCTGACGCCTCATGCCTCATTTCTAATTCCAAGTCCTCAGAGCCTGGACAAGTGGAGAGTCTGTACTGAGAGTCTGCTTTGTGTTGCCTCCAGTGCTGGACATTTTACGTGCGTTCTCTCACTGGATGTGGAAAGCTCCGTGACAGGCTTGGACTCTAAGACCTTGAGTGACAGGAGGAATGAGGAAAGGCAGAAATGTAGTTTCAGATGAATATGCCCTCACTGCCCAAGGCTGGCCGGGCACAATGCCAGGTCCTGGGCACCCATGGTGAACAAGCGTGGATCCTGCAGTAGAGCGCTTTCAGTGGGGGATACAGACCCATACGATAACCAGACAATGACCAGGGCCATGCAGTATGTGGTGTGTTACAGCAGGGAATAGCAAGGGGGCGACAGGAGACCAGGGAAGGGGCTTTCGGTTGCCCCTGGCAAAACTGACTCCGTTTCTTAAGCTACACTGAAACAGACTGGCTCGTGCTATTAGGAACCTCAGGGCAGAATCAGGACTTAAACAAGGAAACCCTCTCTCTCCGCTCTCTGTGTCACCATAGGCTTTCGTGCTGCAGGTGCAACGTTCTTCCAGAGGAACATCGGTTCATACGGTGACCTTGGAGCACGACCCAGGCTTCTTAGCTAGCTCTCAGGGAAGGAATATTCAGGGAAGAACTCTGGCCCTGCTTGGACCGCTCGGCTTTTCCCCTGAAACAGTCGTGGTGCCCACCAATGGGCCACCAGGATTTAACAAGCTCCGCTTGCACACCTATCCCTGTTGGTGGATGGCGGGTAGGTTCTGAAAGCAGAAGAAAGGGAGAGGGAGAAATGCCCGCCTGCTGAGTCACCCAAAACAACAGCTACCATAAAGAGGCCCCTCCCTGGAGGGAGCGTTGCAGTCATGGAAAAAGCAGGAACCCAGAGAAAGAAGTTTTCGTGCTGAGTTCTGGCTGGAACCGTGGTCGCACCTAAGAGCTGGGAGGAAAACCAGACTGTGGGGGGCTCTGAATGCCGGAGGAAGGACTCCAGAGCAGCCTGAGGGGAGCATGCTGACAGCTTTGTGCAGAATCTCTGCAGTCCTCCCGAAAATCATTCAGAGCCACAAGAAGGAAGGTTTGAGACCACTACACACTTAGATCTTCAGTGAAATGAGGACGTGAGAAAGGTCACAAGCTTCATACTGTGTGCGGCTTCACCCCTGCACCAGCGCAGGGCAGCTCCAAAGTGCTGTTTGCCAGCTGCCACAGGGGAGACCAGAAACTGCCCAGAGGCCTGGGGAGAGGGGGCTGCCGGTCCCAGCAATCCCCAGGAAAAATTCCACCCCAGCAGGAGAGGACTCAGCCTGGCTGGGAACTGCTGTGAGCAGGACTGGGAAGAGAAAGAAAGAAGTCACCCACATGCCTGGAGGACTCGGAGGGACAGGAGAGGGAAGGAGCGAGGAGCACGCTGGCAGGAGGGGCAGGACTCTCGGGGCCAGCGGCTTGGTCCGGAGAAGGAACCAGGGAAGCTTCCTGCTGGTCCTGGGAGCCCTCCTGAGCCAGGCGGAGATCCTAAAATCAGACGAGGCTCCGTAAAGTAAAGGAAGTCTGCACCCCTGCATCAACAGAGGAGGGAGCCCTCGAGCTGAGAAGGAAGGCAGGCTTCCCCACTCCCATCACAGGATTGTCTTGCAAACCGCTGGTTTCGAAAAATCCAACTCATGCAAAAATCAATGATGAAACGTTGCGTCTCCACCTCCAATCAGAAGCACGTTAGAAAAACATCCGTACAAAGGCACTGCCAGAAAAAAATCGGAAAAGGAGGAACAGAACTGCCCTGCAGACAATGAAAACTCTTCGGGCAGGAGAAAAACTTAATCAGCATCATCGTATTAGAACAGTTAAAAAGTGTCACCAGGCAGCGGCAACTGAGCTAGAGGCTGATGGGGCGGAAATCACTCAAGGAAGGGGTGGTCAGGCCGCAGAAGGCTGCAGACAACAGGAAGACAGGAAAGAGGAACGGGGCGGAGGGGGGCGGGTGGAGTTAGAAAATAAGTGTAAGAAAAACACAGCAGTGTTTCAAAAACCAAATTACAAGAAATACAAGCAAAAAGAGGCACCACTCTAGAGGACGCTGTGGAAAACAGAAGAAAAGTGAGAAGATAATGTAGAAATAAATAAAAATCATTAGAGAAGGCATGATAGGGATGATAGGCAGGCAAAGGAAGTTGCACAAATGTAAAGTTTAGAGTCCCCGAAGAAAAAACCCTGAATAATGGAACAAAACAAGTATTTTAAGTTATCATTCGATTTTAGGTAGGGTTTGGACCTGGGATTGGATGGAAAGTTTGGCCCAGATCACAGACCTCAATTTAGGAAGCAGGTGGGAAGGAAAGGCTGGAAGTCATCTGCAGGTGGTGGTGGCCTCCCAGGTCCCAGGGGCTCTGCCATTCAGGACAACCCCCAACCCCTCATGCACACACACCCAGGGGCCTCCCAGGAGCTTTTCCCACGCTGTGACCGCCCCGCCCATGAGGGAGCTCGGGAGCGGGATGAGCAGCTCTGTCCCCTGAACGCTGGCTCTGCCCAGAGTCTCAACTACCTATAGAAGTAGAGGCCAGGGCCGAAGGAGTAAATGAGATAAATACTTCAGGAGGAGCTCCTTAGACACAAGTCAGAAATCAGAGAACCAGAAAGTATAAAGATGAGTAAAATGAACGTGACTACATCACTCAGCTTTATAAAATCTTAATATTTTTACTGTGTTCGCATCAGAAGATTTTAAGGAAATACAACTCTAAGGATACAGGTGAAGCCTATTACAGACCCCTCTGATCCCATTCGTCTTCCTGCCCCCAGCCCAAGATACTACTACCCTGAAATCAAGGATTATTTTTGCAAAACATGCCTTTATGCTGTTATTAAGTATGTATCAATAACTATATGTAATATCTGTTTCACACGCTTTCCAACTTTATATAAATGATATCATACTGAGTGTTTCTATCTAAAATTTGCTTTTTTCCCCATATTTTTGAAAAGCATCCATGTTGATCCAAGTGGCTCTACTTCGTTTTAACTCTAGCCCAGTATTCCTCAGTGTGACTAGACCACCATGTATTTACCCATTCTTTTGTTGACGGACCTTTGAAAAAAAGATCTGACAGGTTTTGTTTTGTTTCAGGTTTTTTTTTCAAGTTTTCACTCAAATTCCAGTTAGTTAACATACAGTGTGATATTGGTTTCATGTGTAGAATTTAGTGATTCAACACTTCCACACAACACCTGGTGCTCATCACAACAAGTTGGTGATGGTGGTTGTGTGTATGTGTGTGTGTGTGTGTGTGTTTTAATAAAACTGAGACATATCCCTACTCTATGATCCAGAAATTCTACTGTTAGGTAAATACCTAAAAGGAATGGATATGTTTGTCTACAAGTGTTCACAGCAGGAATGTTCACATACAAAAATGTCCACAGCACCTTTACTTAAAATAGCCAAGAACTAAAAAAATAAACAGGTGTACAGATATGATGGAATACTAAGCAATAAGAAGGAACAAAGTACAGGTCTATGCAGCAGCACAGGTGAGAATCAAAAACGCGTTAAGAAGCCACTGTGAGGGGTACCTGGGTGGCTCAGTGGGTTGGGCCTCTGCCTTCGGCTCAGGTCATGATCCCAGGGTCCTGGGATCCAGCCCTGCATTGGGCTCTGGGCTCAGTGGGGAGCCTACTTCCTCCTCTCTCTCTGCCTGCCTCTCTGACTACTTGTGATCTCTGTCGAATAAATAAATAAAATCTTAAAAAAAAAAGAAGCCACTGTGATTCCATGTGCAGTGTGTACACACGTATAATGCAGTTTGTATGTAATACAAAGTTCTAGCGTTGAACTGGTAAAACCAGTCTGTGGTGGGAAAAACCCAGAACCGTGGCTCCCTGATGGTGGAAGGTGGAAGGGGGTATTGCCAGGGAAAGGGAACTTTCTGGGGGTGATGGTAATTTTTTTTTTTAAGATTTTATTTATTTATTTGACAGATAGAGATCACAAGTAGGCAGAGGCAGAGAGAGAGAGAGGAGGAAGTAGGCTCCCTGCCGAGCAGAGAGCCCGATGTGGGGCTCCATCCCAGGACCCTGGGATCATGACCTGAGCCGAAGGCAGAGGCTTTAACCCACTGAGCCACCCAGGCGCCCCGGTGATGGTAGTTTTTAAAACTTGACAAGAGTTTGGGTTACAAAAGTGTATCCATTGAGAATGTATATGTAGTGTTTGTACTTTTCATTTTAAATAAGTTTTACCACACACACACACACACACCTAAAACGATATCGAACTCTGTTAATGCTAGGCATGCTAAAGTATTCAGGGGAAAATACACTGGTATCTCACTTTGTTGGAAATGCACCGGAAAATAAGATGAAATAGTGGATGGACAGAGGGATGGATAGATGGAGAGAACTATGATAAAGTAGGAATAGCAAAACATTGATAGAATTTAGGTGCTGGATATACAGGTACTCATTATAAATTCTTTCAGATTTATTGGGCATTTAAAATTTTCATAATAGGGGCGCTTGGGTGGTGCAGTGAGTTTCGACTTAGGTCATGACCTCTGGGTCGTGAGATCGAGCCCTGTGTCATGTCAGGCTCTGCACTCAGTGCAGAATCTGCTTAAGATTCTCTCCTCCTCTCCCTTTCCCTCCCCTATGCTCTGTCTCTCTCTCTCTAAAATACATAAATAGACCTTTAAATTTTCATAATAAAATGTAGGGAAAGGTTTTAATATTTAATCTGTCCAAAACCCACTCTTGATTTCATTCTGCCCTAAAGCCACTCCTCCCTTCAACTTCCCAATTCTAATAAATGACAGCCATCCAGCTAGTTGTTCACCTCTGCATTGCCCCTGACCCGCACAAGGAATCCATCAGCACATCCTTTCAGCTCTACTTGCAACGTCCGTTCCGGGTGCACCCAGCTTTTACCAACCCCACCACCCGAGCCTGTCCCAAGTCACCATCCTCTCCCACCTGCATCACTCTAGTCTACTGAGTGACCTCCCTGCGGCGTCTATTTTCCACCCAGCAGTCCCACGGGTTATTTGTAAACGCTCCCTCCTGCTGCCTCCCCTCTGTCCCTCCCTCCCTACTTTCCAGCCATACTGACCTCCTTGCTGTCCATTAAGTAAGCCAAGGTCTTCAGGACTTCCTGTTCCCCTGCCTGGAATGTGCTTCCTCCTTATCTGCATGGCTTGCTCTCTCACTTGACTTGTTCAGATTCCCTGAAATCTAGACAATATAGCACCTCACAGCACATTATACTGCTTTTATTTTTCTTCTTATTGCTATCTGACTTATGTTTGCTTGCTTTCTATACCCCTTAACTAGAATTAAGCTCCAAGGAGGCAGGAATTTTGTTTGCTTTACTACTGTGTCCTAGTGTTTGTTGAATTAATGAATGAGATAGACAAAATGTCACCACCTCCATGAGTCCTTCCCAATCCACTCCCCACCTCCTACAACTTAATAGTTCCCTCTATCATATTCGTTTTTTTCCTCTATTGCTTTTTTTTTTTTTTTAAGATTTTATTTATTTGACAGAGACACAGCAAGAGAGGTAACACAAGCAAGGGGGAGTCGGAGAGGGAGAAAGCAGGCTTCCTGCCAAACAAGGAGCCCAATATGTGGCTCAATCCCAGGACCCAGAGATCATGACCTGAGCCGAAGGCAGACACTTAATGACTGAGCCACCCAGGCGCCCCACTTTTCTCTACTATTTAATGATAGTCGTTTGTTACACATTTATCCTGTCCCCCACCCCAACAGAGATATATATAGCTCTTGGATGGAGCTAGGGGCCATTTCTTGTTAACTGTCATATCCCCTGCAGTTAACAAGAACAGTGCACGGCCCAAAGCATGCTGATCCACCCTGCATCTACCTGCCAACTTCAACCTCTACCCAGACCTTCTAGATTTCCAACGCTGCCCTGTTTATCTCTGTTCTTTCTCTGCACCGTGGAGTTACCACAAACCCTTCAGAAGCTACACCTATTATCTCTAAGGGGCTCTAGCTCCCACGTGTTAAGATGCCTTTCTTCTCAAGTGCACCCCCACCCCCCTAGCCTCCCAGGGTGGCCAAAGGCAGCTCCCACAGAGCCAAGCTCTCTGGGCCTAGACTCCTAGGTGCTTCTAGAATCCCAGATGCCAGAAACAGCTCTGCCTCTAGAGGGCAGCACTCAGCCATGACCCTGCTGAGTCCAACGTGCCTGCTGCAAAGGGAGTGGTTGGTCCCTGGAGTCTGGTTTAGGAGGGCCCATTTTGGCTGCCCCCTCCATTCATTCCACAAAGGGGACTGCGGTTGGCCAGGCACGTGGGTGTCAGGTATGAAAGAGGCAGTTCCTGCCCCCAGGGAGCTCCCTGCTGCCTGGTAGAGGCCAGCTGGCATGGGGGAAAAGGAGGAAGTGGGAAGAAAAGAGTGTGAAGAGCCCCACCTCAGAACAGGACAGCTTTTCAGAGGAGGTGGTATTTGAGTATTATTGGATTTGTGGGAATTAGTTGAGGGAAGGCAGCAGAGGGGGAGAGGAGACTGGGAGGTGCAGGTACAAAGGTCCAATCGAGAAGGGCAGGGGGTGTGTAGAACAGCTCTGCAGTTGAATTTCCCAGGTGCAAGAGGCTTTGTGTGTTAAGGGCTCTGGCCTTTACCCCAAGGCAATCGATAGCAGGGTGGTGGTGGTGTGAGCAAGTCTGTGCTTGAGAAAGAGCTTAGGGGGCACCTGGGTGGCTCAGCGGGTTAAGCGTCTGCCTTCAGCTCAGGTTGGGATCCCAGGATTCCAGGGTCCTGGAATCGAGTCCTGCATCAGGTTCCCCGCTCAGTAGGGAATCTGCCTCTCCCTTCCATGTTCTCTCTCTCAAATAAATAAAATCTTGAAAAGAAAGAAAAAAGCTTTGGCAATACATCGGAAAGCAGATTAGAGGGGGTAACACATGTCAGGAGAACCAGTTAGGAGGTCACTGCACTAACTGAGGAGAGACTGGAGTCGTACTGAACTAAGGTGGAGGGAAAAAAGGATTAATTTGGAAACAACCCGGTGGTACCTGGAAGCAGCACAGGAGTGCTGAAGTCAGACCCTGCCACCGGTCCCAGGGAAACTACGTTTGTGTCTAATCTCTGAAGTGGGGATGACAGTAACAGCACCTGCCTTGTTGTGCTGGTGCAGGACTACAAGGAGTTAATACAATGGAAAAGCTTAAAGTAGAGCTTAGCTCCGCTCAGGAAGTACTAGTTATAATTATGAGGCTCAGAAAAAAGAAGAAAGGAATAACTAAGATGACTCCTAGCATTCTGCTTTGGAAACTAGATCTGCAGTTCTCAGTGTGTGATCTGGGAACCTCTGGAGTCCCAAAGCCCCTTCAAGAAGATCACAAGGTCAGAACTGTTTCCCTGGTGTTAATGTTTGCTGTGAGGACGCAAATGGCAGTGGTGGTGAAAACTGCTGGTGTCCTAGCATAAACGAAGACAGTGGCGTCAAACTATACTAGTAGTCATGGTACCAGCACTCAGCAGTACAAAAAAAGGGAAAAAACAGGTTTATGGGAAAATGTCCTTGATGAGGCAATTAAAGGAACAGTCTAATGGGCAATTCAGTATTAAAATATGAAAGGATTTTTTTCTATTGATGTGTTTTGACTAAGATGAATAAACACGTTTAATGTTAAAAAAGTTTTAGTTCCCTCTTCATATGAGATATACTGGTTATCATTTAGCCATACTCATTTTTGCTTAATTTCAAATCAACTCTATGACCAAAAAAAATATTAAAAATACCCTGGCCAAGGCTAGAACAATTTGAGCAAGAAGATAAAGTAATACTGAATGATACTTCAAAATACACAAATAAAACAAAAAGTATAAATATCCATGAGTGTATACTAATATAAATAAATCACTGAATGAGATAGTAAATGGGAGAGAAGAGACAAATCTAGCAGAACTCCAAATAAATAACGTAGATATTTTATCTTGAAGCGAGGGGCATAGCTCCCCACTCCTTCCCTGTGGGCTGCACATGGTGATTTTTTCCCAAGCAGTAGAGTATTTGAGGGTGGGAATGGGGGAAGTAAGTCTACAATGCAAAAGCCTGACAAACACTACTAGGTAATCAAGGTGAACATCAACAGTCATAAACCGCGATGATAGTATGTACTCTTGATATGATATGAAGAAAATGGCACTTTGCCTCTGTGATATTCTTCCTCCAAACCTATAACCTCAGTTTAACATTAGAAAAACATAAGACAAATTCCACTAGAAGGGTATCCTACAGGGCCACCTGGGTGGCTCAGTGAGTTGAGTGGCTGCCTTTAGCTCCCATCATGATCCTGGGATAGAGCCCCACATCTGGCTCCCTCTGCTCTGCCCCCTCCCACTCCTGCTCTCTCTCTCTCTCAAATAAATAAATAAAATCTTAAAAAAAAAAAAAAGGCATCTTACAAAATACTTGGCCAGCACTCTTCAAAACTGTCAAAGACATAAAAAAAAATAAGGAAAATGTGAGAAACTGTCACAGCCAAGAGGAACCTCAAGGAGACATGAGTTCTAAATGTGATGGGTTTGGATCCAGGAGCAATAAGAAGACATTAGGGTAAAACTGATGAAATCTGAATAAAGCATGGGTTTTAGTTAAAAATAATGCATTGACATTAGTTGTATGATAATAAATGTACCACACTAATGTGTCAATAATAGGAAAAAGTGTGAGGTGGTCAGGGAGGGTGAAGGAATATATGGAAGCTTTGTTCTACCCTCTCAATTTTTCTGTAAATCTAAAAATTTCTAAAAAATAGGATTTTTAAAAACCTTATTATTAATTGGTGAATAATTCTACCATCCATCACTCTAGACTTTGAGAACTGAAGTTCTATAATGGGATATCCTATGCATAATTCAATTCAGTATTTACCAAGGTCCTACTCTGTAGGCCTTTGAACTGCTGGGTACTGACTATAAAAAAATGAACAAGATCCAAGACCTAGTTGGAGATAAAAGACATTTTTAATAGGTAATTACTGTACTGTGAGGTGAGCAGAACTGAAGCGCAGAGAGAAAGGGGTTTAGGAAAGTTTTGCAGAGGAGGCATGGAGAGGAAGAGGTACAGAAGCAAGAAATAAGTGAATTGAGCCTTTTTTAAACCTGTTCCTCTAAAAGTCTTGTTTTTCTCCCTGTCCTTTTTTTCCCCTGAAAATAAAAGCACTGTAGAGGCCAATACTTTATTTAACATGGTGTTTTAACTTTACATGAACAATGGGAAAAATATACTTTAGAAAATGCCAAAATTTCCAAAATTATCACAAGCATGAAAGAACATACATTTCAAAGTGAATTTTCAAAGACTTATTTATTTGAGAGAGAGAGACAGAATAAGGGGGAGAGGGAGAAAGAATCTCAAGCAAACTCCATGCTGAGCACAAAGCACAACTCCGGGCTGAATCTCACAACCCTGAGGTCACACAAAATAAGTGAATTGTAAAAGCGAGATCAGTGGGAAATGAGGGGACTAAAATGTGAAACAAAGATAACATATTGAAAGATGATGTCTAGAGGCGTCTAGCTGGCCTCTAGACAGTTGGAAGAGCCTATGACTTTTGATCTTGGGGAGGGGGGTCATGAGTTCAAGCCCCATGTTGTTTACAGAGATTACCTGAATTAAAAAACTTTTAAAAACTTTAAAAAATTTTTTTGTCTGGGGACACTTGGGTGGCTCAGTGGGTTAAGCCTCTGCCTTTGGCTCAGGTCATGGTCTCAGGGTCCTGGGATCCAGCCCCACATTGGGCTCTCTGCTCAGTAGGGAGCCTGCTTCCCCCCCTCTCTCTGCCTGCCTCTCTGCCTACTTGTGATCTCTCTCTCTCTCTCTGTCAAACAAATAAATCTTAAGAAAAAAAAAAGTCTGAAGTAAGTATCCAAAAGGATGACTACATGAACAAAATTCTGGGAAACAGCAATTTCCTAATTCTGCTTCATTTTATTGCAGATCTTTCAAACAACTCAAATTCCATGGGTGTAAACTAGTAAGGGGGGTGGACGGAGGAGCAAAGAGCAAGGACTGAGCATCCCTCTGTGACAGGTAACATACACAAGAGAGGGTCTCTCTATATATTTTCAAATGTAATCTTTAGAAAGAGCCTTGAAATGAGTATCTTCTATGTTTTCTGGAGAAAACCCCTGCTCAGAGGAACTCAGTATCTTGCAGCAGAGCAGGACTAGAACCAGGGTCCATCTGAGAGTAAAACCATGTCCTTTTTAGTCCCATTTAACCATTTAGCTGTTTGTAATATGGCAGTATTCACCCTGTTGGTTCCAAACAAAGCAGTCTTGAGATTGCTTCTGATTTCTTCCTTATTGCACTGTATTCACTTCATAGCCAAGGGCACTGAGCAAAGAACATTTCTAATTACATGTCTTGTTTACAAGTAATTTATTAATTAGCCCAGTGCTAATATAATACATACATACTCCAAGTATGTATAATACATACATACTCCAAGATTAATCCTACAAATGTTCATGGACATCCCTAGTTTTCAGTATATTTTGATTATCATCGTCACTCATTTAGGCCGCCAGTTTTGCGTCCGTCAAGGTAACATTACACTTGTTGGTAGACCTCCCTTCTCTTACCATCATGCTGTGACATCTCTAAGCTTTTTACCGCCAAGTGTTCTGAGCTGACTGCAAACGGAGGCAACTCCTTCCGGAACGAGAGCACCATCGTAAGCATTATAACGGTATCAAGCTTCTTGGGACCGACAAGATTCTGAGCCTCTCCTGATTCTATGCCACCTGAGGCAAGGCTCTTCCTATTTCCTCCTGCGTTAATACCGGGGAGAAACAATGATTTTGCCGGAGGCACGAGACTGTCGTTAAGAGAATCCAGAGAGGGAGCATGAAAAACAGTTGGCCTTGCGGGCCCGAAATCCCGAAGAGCTGCGGTTATTTCTAGGCTCCCAGGGCCTCCCGGACCCAGCCGCACAAAGGGCGCGGGGCGGTCCCGCTGCCGCCGCCGCCGCCTCCTGGTGCATCTCGGGAAGGGCTCCCGCCCGGGCCGCGCTACCGCGCCCGCCCGAGCGCCTTCGTATCCCCGGCCCTACCCCAGCGGCTCGCGCCGGGCCAGAGCAAAGCTCCGAAGCCACCAGCCCGCAGCCGGCCCGAGCTGCCGCGAGTTCCGGGGAGCCTGCGCTCGGCTCCTCCGCCGCGGGGGTCTTTGTTCCCGTAGGCGTCCCCGCCCCACCTCTCCCGCCACCAAACCCGTTGGCAGACTATCAAGGGCTTGTCCTACTTGGAGATGGCCAGTCCGGGGCGCGCAGGAGAGGGGCGGTGATAGAGGTAGCGAGGGTTACCCCTGTGTCTGGCTAGGGGGCGAAAGAGAAGGAAACGCGTCGGGCCCGCCTCCTGCTATTATAGCTCTGAGGCGGGCGACTCGCTCCAGCGCGGGCAACTCGCGCGGGCTCCGCAGGGCGCGCTGGCGGCGGCGGGGCGGGGCGCGGCGGGTCGGCCCGCGGGCTGCACGTGGTGGGGGCAGTTCTCCCGGCCCAACCTGGGAGAGCCACCGCTCTCAGGGGATGGTGGGATGCCGCCCCCGGCCCCGCTCTGGAGAGACGTTTTACTCGTGGGGGGCCCCGGAACTTCAGGTCCGGAAGACAGGAAGGGAGGGTGCGGCCTGGCGCGAGCCTTTTCTGAGCGCGGGGACTTCGGAGTGGGAAGCCGCCGGGCCGGGGAAAGGCGGCGGGGTGCGGAGGGACCCATCCATGGGAGGTAACCGGTAGGCGGAGCGGGGAGCGGAAAGAGGGTTGATACGAACCTCCGTCGGCGGGCTGGAGCAAAGTGCAAGACAGGCATTCCAGAGAATGGCTGCCCTCGGGTGCCGCGGCCGGCCCCGGTGGTCCCAGACCCGAAGGGTGGCGCGCGGAGACACACGTGGCCCGCCGCGCGCCGGGCTGTGTTTACATTCTGCAGCAGCTCCACGTTGTGCCGCCGTCCTCGCCTCCCATTGGCCAGCTCGCCGGCCGAAGCGGCGCTCCTCCCGCAGGGGCGGGCCCTGCCGGCCCCGGCGTCTTTTCCGAAAGAACCGGGTTCCTTGAGGCCTTAGCGGGACCGCCACGGTGCGCCGCAGGATGGCCACTACCTCAGTACTCTATGCTCGCCCGTGCCGCCTCCACCTGGCCGTAGCCGGGACTGAGCCGCGGCCTGACGTGGACGGGACCTGGGAGTTGACGGCGGGAGGGAAATTGAAAGTACTGGCGGGAGATGCGGAAGCAGAGCGGCCGGGAACCAATCCTCGGAGGAGGAGCCTCTGAGAGACTCCCTACCGCCTCCCGGCCGCGCAGGCAGGTGAGGTGGAGAGCAGGTGAACGCGGACTAAGGGCCTGGGCAAGCTGGCCCCGGCCCCTCGGGGTGGGCGGGCGCGGACTGAGATCAGGGCGCGGCGCGCGGGCCTGCGGGGCGGGCGCGCGGGAGAGGGGAGCGCGCAGTCCGGAGGTGTCAGTCTGAGGCGCATGCGTGCGGGGCGGGCCCGGCCCGGCCTATATATTGGGTTGGCGCCGGCGCCAGCTGAGCGCGGAGCGGTAGCGGGTCCAGCGGTGAGAAGGTGCCGGGCGTAGGACGGAGTGCGGGAGGAAAGAAAGCCCCTGGGGCCGATTCTTCCCGCGGGCGGGAGCCTAGAGGAGGAAAAATGGGAAGGCTGAGAAATAGGCGGCTGGGGCGGATGGCTTCCCGCGTTGCGTCCCTGTCAGGATCTCTGGCAGGGAGCCGGGGAAGCGGCGGGGGTGGAAGGCTACCCCGAAGGGGGAGGCCACGGAAAATGCCCTCATTCTAGGGGCTTCTCTCGCCCACGCTCGTTAGGGGAGCTCTCCCGCGGGAGGGAGGATAGGGGTCTGGGTTCCCTTCACGGAGCGAAGAGCTCCCTGACCAACCCAGTTTTCCTCTTTAACTCTCTTTCCTTTCACTCCCACCCCCATCTGGAGTCGGGGTCCCGGTGCCCCTTCAAGCAACAGGCAGGGCCCGGTGGGGCTGGGAAGGAGGGAACGGAGACTGAAGGACGTGACACAAGTCTCCGTTCCCTCCGCCCCCTGCTTCCCCGCCACCGCCGCTCTCCAAATTGGCGCGGAACCGGCTTCTCCACAGCGTTTCGCCTCCACAACCCCCTCTCTCTCCGGGACTCGTCCTGGATGGAAGGGGGGATGTGGGGACGCTGCCCAAGACCCCCTCGGGGTTCCGGGAGAGAGGATGGAGAGCGCAGAAAAGACCCATTTTGGGGAGACCTGCCTCCTTGCTGGGGTGCTTTGTAAATTCTTGAAGACACTCGCGTCCCGGCCGTCTATTCAATTGAGGAGACGCAGGCGTGTGTCCAAAATTAATAGATAACCATTGTAGTGCGTGAGACAGCATGGTCAAATGGCTCAGGCCATCTCCTGAGGGACTTAGCCGAAACCCCTGAATGAGCGTCTGATTGGCACTTGGGGGAATATGGGTGACAATATATTTGACTCTCGTTTTTCCTGTCCCCTCCAGAGATTTCACACACTTGAAAGAAGAGAATGTCAAGACGCAGGTAACATTGTCTTGTAGACATGTTTAAGAATATTCGCTGCTGCGCTTTAAACGCATGATTAAACTTTCTTTTAAAAATTTCACCGTAGTAGCCGTTTACAAGCTAAGCAACAGCCCCAGCCCAGCCAGACGGACTCCCCCCAGGAAGCCCAGATAGTCCAGGCCAAGAGGAGAAAAACAGCTCAGGTGAGTTAAGAGAGAGGAGAGAGAAGAAATTCTTTGCTGGGACTTCAGTTTAATAACGGTCTTTTTTATTTTCCAGGATGTCAAAAAAAGAAAAGAGGAGGTCACCAAGAAACACCAGTATGAGATTAGGGTAATGCAGAACTGGGCTGGGGGGGGCTTGGGGGAAACAAATGCAGGACAAAGAATTGTGTTATTGCTATGCAATAGAAAGATACCTCTGACACTTTTACTTCGAATGCCCCTAGAGGTCAACAGAAGGCCCGTATCTTTGGGTGGTTTATACGTGCCTGAATCCTACTACAGCTGCAGAGCAAGTTTGCCTTGAAGCAGCTGGTTCCTCTTTGTAAATCCCTCCCTCTTGGAATCGCCTGGTGCACCAGGGCCCGCCTAATCTGTCCAATGTACTGCTCTTTGTTCCCTCTCTGACTATAGTGGAGGGTCCTAATAGCTGTTCCTTGGGCCATAAATAGGATGGAAGTCACTGACAGACTGGCACATAGCCCTTTGCCACCTATTCTCCCTATGTGTGGTACAGAGAACACTAGAGACAGTGGTTCTCTTTGAAACCAGCATTGGTTGGGGAGAGGGTCCTTTAAAAGCTATTTAAGTAATTGACATCAGTTGATTCCACTTTTAAGGTTTTGTTTTCTAGTATTCTGAAGTATGGAAGCAGACTTAACTGGGGTGGGGGGGGAGCTTTTTATAAAACAAGGTGCCCTTACCACTATTGTAAAGAGAATTTATGATCTTGAAAGTGATTATTAGTGTTTGACTACAGATGCATTTTGTTATTACTCCCTTCCCCAATATCTAATGTCTTGTATATTTCCAGATTTGTATTTTGTTCTCTAAAATATCCCCACCCGTTACTCTTTATGTATGAAGATCCGTATGAACTGTGTCTTAATTCTAAAATATGAATGTCAACTAGATTGTCAGCAATGGTTAACTAACAGTGGTGTTGGGGGAAACTATAGACTGTTTAGAGATACTAGCTTCCATCCAAGACAAAAGCTGATTTTCTTTCGCATAAATTTTTGTTTTATATGACAGAACTGTTGGCCACCTGTATTATCTGGGGGGATCAGTCCTTGTATTATCATTGAAACACCCCACAAAGAAATAGGAACAAGTGACTTCTCCCGATTTACAAATTACAGATTTAAAAATCTTTTTATTAATCCTTCACCTTTGCCTGATTTAAGGTAAGAACATTTTTTGTAATTTAATATCAAAGATTAAAATTGTACTTAGTATATTACACTACCTTGAATCCTATTTTGCCTTCATTAGAAGACCGAAAAACATCCAAAAATTGCTTTACTAGTATTTATGCATGTACTGAAATGGTGATGTTTGCAAAGGATATGGGTATTTAAAATACTAATTTTATGAAGTGCTTTTCATTTACTTGTTGAATACTCTAAGCCTCATTAGAGGCTTTTTAAATGAGGTTTAAGTCTTCCTTTTAATACGGAAGCACTTTAACAGGTATGACATTTTCATTTGATAGATCAACCCTATTTCTTACCAAGTTTAGAAATACCTATATTCAATTCTTTTTTCTAGTTAATATGACTAAGAGGTATAGCTTATACAAAGCATGTAGTGTAGTATATTTGGCTCTAATATACAAATGAATGAGCAGACATTTAAACTCACCACCCCTCCCCTTTACTACACTCTGTCCCAGCCACCACCACTTTAGATGAGTCTACTATTGATTTATTTGGAGATGACTGGAACTTGTCTCTACTGGGATTATATGCTTAAATATTTAAATTTGCAGTGTTGCTCTTGAGGAAATGTTATCTTAAATGGAAGCCTTTTAATTTATAAATGGGGGAAGCACTCTTGAAAGCCATAGTCTAAGTTCTTGCTGTACAATTTCAGGCTTCTGCTTTTTTATGCTAAAGAAATGGTTTCTAAAAGTTAAAGTAGCAATTTTTTCCTAATTTACTTTAAGAGCTCCTCCTTCCAAGTTCTAACTCAAAGTTGTATTTCAATACCTGAAGTTGATTCTTTGTACAACAGGTAGCTTGAATATTATGTAGGTCACATGGTGTTTTCTCCCCTTCTATAGTTGGGGATGTTCAAAGGATGTTTGGCTAAACATGCTAAAAAAGGAGACCAGGTATGTTCATGACAAACATTTTGAAGTTCTGCATTCTGACTTGGAACCACAGATGAGGTCAATACTTCTAGACTGGCTTTTAGAGGTATGTTCCATCAATACAAATTTTCTTTATCTCTGTATAATGGAAAAGTATTTAGATGTGTATGTGCTTTCCATGTGCCCTTGCTATATTTTCAGCAGCCATCTTTTGGGGGATACATACTGCAGTTAACAGTACCAAAATGGAAAATGTCTGCTTTGTGAGAATAAAGTAACACAGCCACTGCATCCCATACAACCTAAACTTAATTCAGAACTCCTGGTGTCTGTGGGAATTGCTGTGTACCAGGCACTAGATGCTGAGGATAATCAAGATAAACAGAATATATACATAGTTGAAAAGGTTTTGAATTCTGGTATGCAAAGTGAAGAACCAGGACTAGGCTTCGGCCCTCAGAAGTCCTTTTTCTACCTCACCAAAATCAAATTATGATTTGGAATCCTGATTTCTAGGTCCTAAATGATAAGGAGGCTTTGAATATCCAGAGGCACTAAGCCCTCTGGGCTTCATGTAGTTTCCCTTTATTACACACCTTTATTCCTTTTTGAAATACACTGTACCATTAATCTAAAGGAGTAACAGTGATCTCCAGATCTCTAAAGATCTATGACAGAATGTTCTGTTTAGGCCCATTCCTTTTCTCTGGATAGTAATTCCAAGAGTTTCTAAAATTGAGAAAATTACTTGTGGAAATGACAAACTGATTTTTCTCCAGCCCTTGGATATTTACTCTCTAGTTTCCCTGTGTTTGATAGAGATGATACACTCTAAGGGAGAAACACTATAGGCTTTTCGGTGGAATAATACATGGCAGAGTAGATCTCAGAAGCTATCAGAAAAGTTTTTAAGACTATAAAACACTGTCCTTTTGAGTTAGGTTATCATTTCTTATTCTGACTAGCAGGGAAGATAGTTCAGTCATGTGCGTACAAGAAGGGGGCTGAATTTTTACTTTTGGAGTGCCTAGTGATCATGGAAGCAACCTAAGCACAAAATGTAGATTTTTTTTTCCTTTTTATGGTTACACTGACTTTATCCGGTAGTTGCCCATCAAATTTATTGCTATCTTTCCTTAAACAGGATTATATGCAAAACTATAGAATATAATCAATCCAGCAGTGTTAAACTCTAGTTTTTCTTAGTATATCCTTTTAGTCTATGAATGCAAAGATGGTTCAATATTATCTTAACAGTTTAAAAGAGAAACATCATAAAGTGTCGATAGACTTGAAAGATATTTTTTTGAAATTCAGTTTCTGTTCCTCCTTTAAAAATATGTAGTAAACTAAGAGTTCCTTAACACATTGTTTATTAGAAACTCATGTACTTCCGTCCCTGTTTCCTCATCTTCAAAATGGCGATAAAGCTGCTACTTCCTGGAGCTCAGAATTTGAAGCTTTCCCTATACTAAGTATGGACATGACAGATACTGTTTATTAACAATAGTGAAACATTAGGGAAATTCCCATTACAGTAAGAAACAAGGGATGAGATCAAGACTATCACCAATGTTGTTCTTTCAGTTGTCTTCTATAAAAATTCTTAGCCAACACAGTAAAACGTGAAAAAAATGAAGTTAAAAACATTGAAAGGAATGTTATTTTGTAGTTAAATGTCTGCCTAGAACAGTGAAAGAATCATTTCGAGCTGTTAAAATTATAAACTAAGCTTGAAAACATGAGCACTTACCAGCAATAAACAATTAGGAAACTAATGGAAAAAGTTCCCACTCAGTCAGCAAAAGTATAAATATATCTGAGAATAAGTTAAGTCCATATGAAAAAAATACATATATAAAACTAGTAACAGGGACACCTGGGTGGCTCAGTTGGTTAAGCGGCTGCCTTCGGCTCAGGTCATGATCCCAGCGTCCTGGGATCGAGTCCCACATCGGGCTCCTTGCTCAGCGGGGAGCCTGCCTATCCCTCTGCCTCTGCCTACCACTCTGTCTGCCTGTGCTCATGCTCTCTCTCTAACAAATAAATAAATAAAATCTTAAAAAAAAAAAAAAAAAAAAAAACTAGTAACAGTAGGGACACCTGGGTGCCACGGTCAGTTAAGCATCTGCCGTCAGCTCAGGTCATGTTCCCAGGGTCCTGGGATCGAGTCCCGCATCAGGCCGAGGTTCGCTCAGTGGGGAACCTGCTTCTCCCTCTGCCTGCCGCTCCCCCTGCTTGTGCTCTGACATATACATAAATAAAACCTTTAAATAACTTTAAAAAAAAATCTAGTAAGTAAATGAGGATAGTAATAGATTCTTTTATCCTATATCCTAGTATATGTTAGTATCTGCCCCCCTCCTTATCCCTGCCCAGTCTTAGCTCTGGTATCCTAAAAAGCAAAGTTGGTCTCTAAAGAATTCTAAAGACTGGTATTTTAGGTGAGAACTTTCTAATTGGAGAAATGCATAGAATATTTAAATGTTTGGATTCTTCTCTAGGTATGTGAAGTATACACACTTCATAGAGAAACATTTTACCTTGCGCAAGACTTTTTTGATAGATTTATGTTGACACAAAAGGATATAAATAAAAATATGCTTCAACTCATTGGAATTACCTCATTATTCATTGCTTCCAAACTTGAGGTGAGTTCTCAAGCTTTATCCATGATAATATATCTCACTTTTTTAAATCAACACAATAATCCCAGCAAATACAGCTTTTGACATTAACTCTATAAGAAAGATGAGTGGGTTTTTTCCCCCAGAACATTTTCTGAATATTATTGATTTGGATAGATAAATATAGTTCCCTTTGTTAGTATCTGAGCCTATTATAAGCATCTGGTTTAGATTCTGGAAGCATCTAGGTGAAATATCCTATGGTTCATTCTGCTGGACAAAATATACCAGCAGTGTGGTCTGTATACATATACAGCACTTGCATTCAATAGAATGGCCTTTGAAAACTAAATGACCAATCAAATGAAATAAATACTATGCTGGGTTAAAATAAAGGTCTATATATACTGAATGGTCTATATTCTGTTTTTGAGTGGTGCTGCCAGGATGGAAGGCAACCCTTTTTGCCTGAGGTTTTCTTTCACACAATCTTTTCTTAAACAATACATTTTGGATATCATACTTTCTTCTGAAAGTTTTGAAACTTGTCATCATTTTGAGGGTAGGAGAGGGACTGTGAATCAGGCCTTAATCTAAGTGTATTTTTCTTCCAAATTTGTCTTTTGAGCACCAAGAGCGATCTCCCAATTCTGCCATATTTGGTAAATAATTTTGTGTTTGGTCTATCCTTACTGTGTGTTTCGGGTATCTTTCTAGACTAAACTCGTGATTTTTAACCTGTTCTCATATGTAGCAGGCCTCTCTTCTTCTCTGATCATTCTGTTTTTCTCTGGGCTGTTAAGACAGACCTGCAGCCAAACTGCACAGCGTATTTCTTGATGTACCACACCTTTATAAAGGAACTGTTTTCAGTAGTTTCTAGACCTTGTTGAAGTGTCTTGTTTTGGTCTGGCCAATATACTAAGCAATCAAAAAAAAAGTCTGGCTTTTTATTTTTTAACTGAAATATTTTAAGATATTCTAGTTGTTTATTAATTGAAATTCAAGATCAAGTCTATGAAAATAAGTGTCAATGTAGTTGGCTAATTTAGACTCCTACATCTGTGAAAAATCTTGTTACTAAGACACAATCACTTTATGAAGCTGTCCTTAAAAATGAAGCCTGTAGGGGCGCCTGGGTGGCTCAGTGGGTTAAGCCGCTGGCTTCGGCTCAGGTCATGATCTCAGGGTCCTGGGAACGAGCCCCGCATCGGGCTCTCTGCTCAGCAAGGAGCCTGCTTCCTCCTCTCTCTCTGCCTGCCTCTCTGCCTGCTTGTGATCTCTGTCAAATAAATAAATAAAATTAAAAAAAAAAAATGAAGGCTGTATGTGGTTTCCGTATAACCTTTTGTTTTAATCTCAATCTTAACTGTGCTTAATTTTTTAAAAATCCACTTTAAAGGAAATATATGCTCCTAAACTACAAGAGTTTGCTTATGTTACTGATGGTGCCTGCAGTGAAGAGGATATCTTAAGAATGGAACTTATTATATTAAAGGTAATAAATTTATTGTCTATTTGCTACTTACTAAGTTAGTAGTTACTACTGAATCTGAAAGACCACAATGTAAATAGTGAAAACAGGTTTCATTCAGCATTAGGATCCAGTTCAAAGAGGTTAATGCATCAAAATACGGACAATGGTATATAGACGGAGTGGAATTTACATAACCTGTAGACTCTTCTTTTTCTGTGTCTTTGTTTCTATTGAGAATATATTATTTTCCTAATTTTAAAGTTAAGGAAAACACTTTGAAAAGTAAAATTAGCATAGCCTAATTCATTTGTGTATACAAATGAATTCCGACAATGACTCTCAAATCTTAGTTCTGATAACGCCCCCCCTTTCTTCCAGTAGATACAGAATGAAAATTATTTCATTGTCTTTTTTCTTTCTATATGTAAAAAAGGACTATTAACAAGCATGGAGAAGAGAAGCATAAAGGTGTTTAATCAGGCCCTGAATTAAAGTAAAGGCTGAATGTTAGCAACTAGAAAGTATGTTATTAAATTTGAACACCCTGAGTTTATATATAGGACACACCAGAAAACAAGGACTTTTTATAGATTATCTAAACTATATATATTATAGATTATTAAATTTATATTTTGTAAATTATGTTTACAATCTATATTCATATTCGTAGCTCTGTTAAATATCAGCTTACCAGAAAGATGCCATTCTAACAATAACCTTATTCAGATTCAGGCTTGAAGCACACCATAAGGAGTATGTAAGAGATGGAATTTTCTGTAACACTGTTCTCACCTAATTATTTTAGACTGCTTGTAAATGGTAAAGTCCTAGGTCTTCATGGAGGAGAGGATATCATAAATCGGGATTTGTTTTTTTTGTTCTAAACTTTTAAATTTGACGAGAAGCCATCAAAGATCATGAAAAGAAAAGAGCTAAATGGAATTAGCTCTGGTCACTGAATACAGTTTTACAAAGGCAGTTTCAATAAATAATAATAGATGTGGAAGACCAGGGGCTGCAAGAAATGAGAAGAGGAGGAATGAATACCAGACGTAGTGAGCTTTCTAAAGAAAGACAACTAGAGAATTATAAAGGGGCCTGTAGTAGTAGACTATAAAATATAAGCGCCTTTACATCCTGAGGTATCTATAAATATTTTTAATAAAAATAAGGGTCAATAAAATTCCTAGGAAGAAATAAACCTAAAGCAGAAAGTTTTTAAATGACTAGTAAAGTAGCTATGTATTACAGTGTATACATATCTACATTTATTAACAGGTATTTTAATTCCATTAACAGGCTTTAAAATGGGAACTCTGTCCTGTAACAGTCATCTCCTGGCTAAATCTCTTCCTCCAAGTTGATGCTCTTAAGGATGCTCCTAAAGTTCTTCTACCTCAGTATTCTCAGGAAAAGTTCATTCAAATAGCTCAGGTATTTTCAATGAATATATGCTAATGTTTATTATAGCTGTTCAGTGCACTTAAAGTCTTAACTGAGTTATACAATAAAAGGCATAACGAATTAAATCCACTCCTTAATTGACAAGAACAAAACTGATGCATAAAATTCTGTTCCTGATATTTATATTGCTTACTAATTCTAGAAAACAAACTTTTTAAACTTTGAGTTTAAATGTATTATGAATACTTTTCATTCTTTGAGTTCAAAGTAGAGTTAAATACCTCTTTTTGATATATAAAATGGAAAAAGGCATTTAGCCAGTTGTCTTTAGTATGATGTGAAATTATTCTGTATGATTATCTTATTCTTATTTGAATACAAAGAGTACCTACTTTGTACTTTAGAATTAAGATTATTTTTTTTTTAAATTAGGTTCAAATTATGCTTTCCTAGGCCAGCGTAACAAATGTTCTTTCCTGCCTGCTTCTCCTAAGTATGTTAAAGGCCACTGTAACTGTTTTAAGTTCTAATTCTGTGTAGTATATGAAAAGCTTACATATGGAATTGAAGGAACTGTGGTATACTGGGATGGGTTTTAAATAACCTAGGGTAAAACTTAGTTTTATTTTAAATCTAGTCAACACAATTATGAACACTAACACTGAATTACCAGTAAAATATTAGAATCGGTTCATTTTATAATATTTTGTAACAAACGAGAACAAACATTTGATAAACTGGTAATTACTGTATCTGCATTATTTCTAAGTCTTCTGGTCAGAAGTTTATTCCACTGCATAGGTATTCACCTTAGGCCTCTGAAATCTAGCCGTTTTACACCATTCTTGTCCATTATACTGCCTTTTTATTTTATTTTTTTAAAGATTTTATTTATTTATTTGACAGAGAGATCACAAGCAGCAGAGAGGCAGGCAGAGAGAGAGGAGGAAGCAGGCTCCCCGCTGAGCAGAGAGCCCAATGTGGGGCTCGATCCCAGGACTCCGAGATCATGACCTGAGCCGAAGGCAGCGGCTTAACCCACTGAGCCACCCAGGCGCCCCTATACTGCCTTTTAAATAATCTCACTGTTTAGACTACAGTGAAGCAGATACAGAGGGAACACGTTTCTAAAGGATCATTCTTAAAATGTAGCTTTCCTGATTTAAAGTCCTCCAGTAATTTCAGTAATAAGAACCAGAATTCTTAAGGACCTTTTATGATCTAACCTAGGCTAATCTATGATCTAATCTATCCCTCTCCAGCTACTGCCCCCCCCCTTAAGGAATGAAGGAAAGGAATTCCTTTGTTCTGAACTAGGAGTTCCAAGGGCAAGGAATACTTTCTCATTTCTCATTTGCAAATGCTGTTCCCTATATGTAAAATACTCTACACCTTCCAATCTTCCTAGCTATCTTGTTTTTTTACACCTTCCAATCTTCCTAGCTATCTTGTTTTTTTAAGATTTAAGCAGCACAGGGACACCTGGGTGGCTCAGTCGTTAAGCGTCTGCCTTCGGCTCAGGTCATGACCCCAGGGTCCTGGGATCAAGCCCCACATCAGGCTCCCTGCTCTTCGGGAGGCCTGCTTCTCCCTCTCCCACTCCCTGTGCTTGTGTTCCCTCTCTCGTGTTCTCTCTAGGAAATAAATAAAATCTTTAAAAAAAAAAAAAAAAAAAAAAAGGGGATTTAAGCAGCACAAGTCTTCCCCACCCTGGATTAGGTGCCCCCCGCCTACTATTACACAGCACACCGCATCCTAACAATCCTTGTCTGTTCACTTCCTAACTCAAGCCACCACTCTTAAGGAAATTATCTTTGGATCCCTTAGTTTTGGCATAAGTACTCTAACATTGTACCCAACTCATCTTTAGTAGCAACATGTATCACTCATCCTTTCTCCTCTTTTGCTTTTTCCTTGGTTAGCTTTTAGATCTGTGTATTCTTACCATCGATTCATTAGAGTTCCAGTACAGAATATTGGCTGCCGCTGCCTTATGCCACTTTACCTCTATTGAAGTGGTGAAGAAAGCCTCAGGTAAGGCACTATATTTTGTTATCTTCTTACATGTTCACAACTAAATTTTAAAGGGGCTTTTATCAACTTTAGCTTCCTATTAAAATGGAAGAAAATTAGTTTAGCCATTATGTTCCCTTTTGTTAGAAGTACTTTCTAATTGTCAATATATATCCATAAACAAAAAGATCAAATGTAAATTACATCCATTTCAAGTTAGTCAACATGGATAAAGCTCTAAGAGTTCTTTGGGTTTTGACAATTTGTTTCATATGTAGAAGGTACTGATTAAGAAGCTCTAAGTCTTGGTGGCTCAGTTGGTTAAATGTCCAACTCTTGGTTTTGGCTCAGGTTTCGGGGATCGAATCCTGTTTTTGGTTCTGCACTCTGGGGAGTCTGCTCCCCTCCCTATACCCTTCTCCCTGCTCGAGTGCTCTCAAATGAATACATCCTTTAAAACAAAAGGCTCTAAGTCAAATGGTCACATTATTAAAAGGCCAAAATCAGGGCGTCTGGATAGCTCGTGCATTAAGTGTCTGACTCTTAATTTCAGCTCAGGTTATGATCTTGGGTCATGGGATCGAGCCCCATGGTGGGCTCCACACTCATCGTGGAGTCTGTCCCTCCCCCTTTGCTCCTCCCCCTGCTATCATGTGTTCTCTAATAAATAAATTTAAAAAATTAAAGGCCAGAATCAAGTTCCAACAAGTTAAAGCAGTTTAGCACTCTCAAACTATGTTTAGAGACAGTTTCTGATGGAACCTTCACATTTTCCTAAACTTTCCTCTGTCTAGGTTTGGAATGGGACAACATATCTGAATGTGTAGACTGGATGGTGCCTTTTGTCAGTGTAGTAAAAAGTACTAGTCCCGTGAAGCTGAAGATTTTCAAGAAGATTTCTATGGAAGATAGACACAATATCCAGACACATACAAATTATCTGGCTATGCTGGTATGTTTCTTGTGGGGCTTCTGGGTTTTATCTAGTAAGTCACTGAAACTGGTAGTAAGGATACTAGAAATACTTTAGGGCAATGGTTTAGGCTACTAGGGGCTAGAAAGTTCTTATGGGCACACTAATGTCACAGCAAGATTTGTGGAGTGTCTCAACATCAATGCCAGTATTCCAGATAAGAGTTTTTAAAAATACAGCTGTAGGCAGTTCAAACCGTTTTATCTCTAAAATGTGATTAGTCATGCTTGCAAAGACAGAAACCTACATGAGGCCTAAGTAGTCTCAAGTTAATACCCCAAAAATCTGGGTTTTGTTTTACTGTCAGTGCTTACCTGTTAATCTCTGCATGATTTCTCCACATGTACAGGATGAAGTAAATTACGTAAACACCTTCAGAAAGGGTGGACAGTTGTCACCAGTGTGCAGTGGAGGCATTATGACACCACCGAAGAGCACTGAAAAACCACCAGGAAAACACTAAAGAAGTGAACTGGCAAACAAGTTGGAATTGAGTATTGGGTAGAATTTCATAGAACTGAACTACTAAAGTTTTCAGGAAAGTAGTGCTATGACTGTCCTAGCCAATTCAGAAGTTTCACTGCCATTCTTTGATTTTAAGAAAAAACACTTAAAATTGGCATTAAGGAAGAAATTCCTAGGTTAGCTGTTTAAACAGCTGGACTTGTTTACAAAGATGACTTCATTCCCAGCGTGACTGGATAGAAGCCAGCCACAATTTATGCCATAAGAATCTTTTTGATCCAGTGTTACTATGTTTATCTTGATAAATTAAGAATTTTATCATTGGAGTTTTAGACTAGACAAGTGCTACCTTAAAGGGGACACGAGTAATACAATACTTTGAATCTAGTTTCTAGATTCGCAAAATTCATATTCTTGACTGGTGCAATTTGGTTTTTGAAAATAAAATTTAAACTTGTTTACAAAGGTTTAGTTTTATAATAAGGTGACTAATTTATCTATAGCTGCTGTAGCAAGCTATTATAAAACTTGAATTTTTACAAATGGTGAACTTTAATCTGTTTTTTTAACTGATATATTTGCCTTGCCATAACATTTTTTAACCAATAAGGCTTAGATGAACATGGTGTTTAAACTGTGCTCTAAAAAGGGGGAATACCAAAGAAATTTTAAACAAGATAAATGTTGTAGCTCCTACTTTGGGCTTTGACACAGAGGTTGCTTTATAATAACTTTTTGTACATCACAATTTAAGTGAAGAAGTACCCTTTCAACCTATTTATATGAGAAAGTCACTTTACTAACTCCAAAATATCCCTAAGGACTTTTTCTTAATTTAGTGTGACTAAGACTATTTATGTTTGCAAAATTATTAAGGTCCTTTTTAAATTCCTACATAATGAGTTAAAGGACAGTGTCAAAGTGATAAAGCTTAACACTTGACCTAAACTTATTTTCATAAGGCAGAAAAGTAGTAAATGTATACTGACTGCTAGATTATTTATTGAAAACAAACAAAAAAAAACCTGACATAAGAACTTGCTGTATATAGACTAGCTACTTCTACATATTTTAGTTTTTAAAAAAAATGAAATTTCAGCCTCAAGAGGGAGTCTAAATAGAAAACAAATTATACTAAGTTGCTAGTTTATTCTGTTACTGGACATGTGAATCTCTTCCTTTGAAGAAATTATAAATTTAAGCTATGGTTATGGTATGAAGTCTTCTGTATAGTTTTTAAATTTTTTCAGTATTGTCTGAAAAGAAAACACCACTAAATGTGTACATATGTATTATATAATCTAATACTGTTTATTTTTAGCCCATTGTTTAAAAAATAAAAGTTAAAAAATTTTAACTAACTGCTTAAAAGTAAAGTTTTGCCATTGCTTGGAGAAACTTTTTTTTCCTTCTCTGCGCTGCCAGCTGTAACACTTCTTCTGGGTTGCTTGCATTCAATTCTGTCTGGCCGATGGCTTTGATCTTCCAAAACAAGAAAGTGACATTATTACAGGTGTGGTCAAAAATACTAGTATACATAATATAAAACTACCTACATATTGACACTCAGCTTAATGATTAGTTAACCTCTAACTGTAAATGATGAGAGGTATGGAAGAAATTAATAAAAACAGACTAGAGCCACACTTAAAAAGGAGATGCTAAGCCACTGTTTATAGAATTACAGTAGGTCCGCCTTATCTGAAGGTCTAGGGTCCGGAAGCAGATGATCCTCCTCCTGACATATCTTAGAAAGTCAACAACAGTAGGGGGGCCTGAGTGGTTCAATCAGTTACGCATATATCTTAGGCTCTGGTCATGATCCCAGCATCTTGGGATCCCTGCTCAGCAGGGAGTCTGCTGCTCCCTCTGCCTGGTTTAGTGGTTTAGCGCTGATCAAAGCCTCCACCTGCTCTTGTGCTCTTGCTTGCTCTCTCTCCCCTCTCAAATAATATCTTAAAAAAAAAAAAAGTTAACAGTAAGCTAATACTGTACCACAATGCTTACATCATTCACCTCATATCATCACAAGAAGGGTGATGATACTCTGAGACTATATTCACATAGCTTATTACAGTATATTGTTATAACTGCTATTATAGGTATGTACATGTAGCATTTAGTACTAGCCATGATTTCAGGCATCCACCAGAGAGGTCTTGGAACTTACCCCTGTGGAAAAGGGGGGGAGACGACTCTATCTACAGTAACATTAATTCATATAAGTTTGACTAAAAATACCAGTAAATAAACCCTACATGTAATTTGACACATTTGTTACAGTTAAATTAGGGCTCCAACAAAAGTTTGAAAAATCAAAATTCATGTTTCAGGTAAGGCTTCACTTTTTTAATGTGCAAAAATAGCTAGCTGTTCAGCACGTAACAGCATATAGTACTGCACTTCTTCCATGATTAGAAAGAAATACCTCAGCCTACTAAAAATCGACAGTATTCTGCCAAGGAGCATTTTGTGAGAACATTTTAATATCTTTGAATTACCTTTAAAGTAATCTACAAATTAAAAAAAGAAACCCAATTAGAACATCTTTAAACAACAAAGACTGTTCTGATATGTAGCTTGAAGGGGGATAGCAAGACTACCCAGAAATGATCAGAGAGTAGGAAGACTTGCTGGACAATACCATTTCCATATGAAGGAATACATGTGGAAAAACATGGTCCCAGGGTATAACTAGAGAGTAATTTCCAACAAACAAAATATCACAAAGATAAGTGGCTATAAAAGTCCAAAGTAGAAGACAGAAATTGGAACAGCCCAGGGATTTGAGAGAAACAATGTACTCTGGGTAGGAGTCAAAACCGTAAGTGGATGGAGCTACCAAGGGAGGACGCAGAGCAAGCGAAATAATGGAGGGACCAACTTTTTGGGGAAATCAAAGTTAAAGGGCAGACAGAGGGAGATACCACACAGAAGAAAAGTCCTAACAGTCAGTGAAAAGAACAATAAAAATGGTGTCAGGGACAACACAGGAATAAAGAATTTTTAAGAAGTGAGAGATAAAAGGATAAGGACTGAAGAACAGCCACTGGCTGATGAACCTTGAGATAACAGGAGTGGTGAGTTACACTGGATCAAAGAGCTTCAAAAAACTAGGCAGAGAAGGGGAAGAGGGAGGTAGAGGCACAGTCAAGGATCAAATAGTTTATAAGCTATGGGGGAGACTGACAATACAGGAGAGGAGACAACTAGTTAAAGGTCACTGAAGAGACAGAATCAAAGCCTAAAAACATGCCTTCATCAAGGAGTAACAGAACCTCTTACTAAGAGGGCACCTAGTGGTGAGCACAGTTACAGATTTTAAAGGTGGGAAGGAGGGATTTGAAGCTGTACTCATATGGCCACAATTCCCAAAACTACAATTCCTATATGGATAGGAGCTGGTCAGTCTTTTCTCTGGTCTAAACACAGGCAAGGAAGTACAGAATAGGGAGAGAAAGGACAGGGGGCTAAACAGAAGGCAAGTCTATATTAGTCCGTGAAAAAGTAGACCCCTGACTGCTGGCCATAACACAAGAGATGAGGGGCCAATGAAGGTTGGAGACCAGGGTTTGGTAGTCGCACCAGCTTCTATGGTTGCAGGAGTTTTTCCAGTTGGACTCTGGCTCAGAAAAAAAAGCTTAAATTTTTGAAAAAGGGATTTTTCCAGGTGAAGTGAAGGACCAAAAAAAAGCAAAGATGCTATAAATATTGATCAAAGGGTAGTTCTGACAGTCAGCCACAGACAAGCGGGGGTTTCCAAATGCGGTTTGTCAGCAGAACGACCTGCCAAATGTAAAATGTGGATTCCAGAACCTCCTCTCAGACCAACTGATTCAGTATCTCTGACAGCACACAGGTTGGTATTAGCTATGCTGAAGTGAGTAGGGAAGGATGGGAAGCTGGGAAGGCACTGAGAGACTGAAGAAAAACTGGTCTTGAACCTGAACATCTCACTGATAATGAGGAACATGGGAGCCAGGAAGTAAGAGAGGGATAGATTACTGGCAGAAAGATCTTACGTAGAACAACTGACAATAAGGCCTGGCTATGGGTGTGGGTGGCTGATTCAGAGTAAAGGTAACAATGGAACCTGTAAAGCTAGGAGTACTGGGTTAACAGATCACATAATTTGACGCATGTAGAGGAACAGCCAGTAGGTTGGTTAGATGAGCTCATGTGGAGACCGACGTAAGCTTTAAAGAGAAAGCATGTAAGATGATTACAAGTAAAGGCAGTTTGGAAGTAACAATTTCAGTACTGCCTTCCAGCCCTGGATAAGCTGGAAATGGAGGGACAGTGGCCTCCAGTCAAGTGCAGCTAGTTTCACGTTTTTTTTCGTTTCATTTTTTAAAAAAGATACTATCATATTTTTCCTCTAAATAATGGTCCTACAATTTAGTCCAAGCAGAGAGCTTTAAAATACACACTATAATATGTAATTTTGTTAATGTGGGTGAAAGAGGAAAAGAGAAAATATCTATGGTGATAATGATGCAAAAATGCTAGGCAAGTAAAAATGGCCATAAATTTATAATGCTTTGGCTTATAAGTCAAATCTTTAAATAATCTATTTAATAACTACTGAGTATCTATTATGAGCCAGGATACATTCTAGGTATCAGCTGTAACAAAACCAAGTCCCTACCTTGTGGGGAAGTTACCAATAAGTAAATATACAGTATGTGAGATGTAATAAGTATAATGAAGGAAAATTTCAAAAGAGAAATGAGGAGTGTTAAAGGGTAAAGGGTGGGGAAAGACTGCCTATTTTATAAGATGTCCAAGAAATGATCACTAAGGAAGACAGTTGAGGAGACCTGAGGGAAGTTAAGAAATGTTTCTAGAAAATAAAATTTCAAAGGCCCTTCAGTGATGAATGTTTTCAGCACGTTCAAAGAACAGCTAATGGTGTAGCAGAAGTTAGCAACGGAGAAAGTTGAATGGATAGTGGTCAAGTCATCTGCAGCCTTGTGGGCCATTATAAGTACTCTGGCATTGCAGGAGATG